CTCGCACCGTATTGAATTGCTCGTGGCTCATCACATGCGCAAAGCCAGGCTGCGTGGGACAGGGGTTTACACTGGAAGTACTCGCTGTACTGGTCAGACATACAGGAGGTATGGCTCATGATGGCTGGCAGTATATAGGCCTGATCTGAAGCAGACTGCAGCCATCCCCCCAGTGTATGTGTATGTATTAGCTGGCCACCAAAAAGGCCTCTCGAGATGCTGGGAAGACATGCACTCCAGCATGTATATGTATGTATGTATGGTGTGGGTGCTGTACTGTACAACAGCTTTTACACTCCTTGCCCTCGCTCTGAAGGTGTCTGTCTTAGGCCCTCACCGGTGTGTCCCCACCACACCAGCTTGCAATTGTCCCTACCTAGTCCTACCCTTTGGGCAGTAGAGTTGCCAGTCCATGTCATATCAGCAGTGCCTCTTCACATGTGTCCAGCCTTCTTTTCAGGTTGTCCAGGCATAGAGATTTCTCGGTCAGCAGCAGCTATGCAGTATATGTATACATGCATACTCTATCATAATGGAACATTGGTCACTGTATTCGAATCCATCACTGTGCATCATCATTTGGGGGTGCATCAGCGCTGGAATTAATTGGTATAGGAATTATATTCTCCTGCTCTTTGTCAGGATCCATCCTTGAACCTTCCAGCAGGGACACGATGCTGCAGCCTTAGCACATTTGCTGTGCATGTCTGGAGCAGAGCCAATCCTTCCAGCAGCACCAATCCATCCAGCCTAACTGGATCATACCTTGTCACCTGCTGTTTGCCTTCCAGCTAATGCTATCATCTCGCCTTGCCATGCATGAAACTGCTACAGGCAGGCCCACACCTTCCATCCCTGCTTCTGGAAATCCAGGCATTCGTCCCCCCTCTCCCCCAGGATCAATAATATCTCCATCCTCCGGTAAGTCAGTCGCACGCTGCTCTATCTTGCATCGTCGCCAAGGAAGGGTAGTTGACATGTGTACATATAGTAGCCAAGCAAGCAAGCGGCTTGCAGGAGCTGATGCGATGCTACAAATCAGGGCCCGTTACCTCTCACATCACGCAATGTGATGGTCTCATATCTCACAGTACATGTATGAGCTGCTTGATCGAAGACCGTGCGGATTTAGCTCAGTTGGGAGAGCGCTAGACTGAAGATCTAGAGGTCGCTAGTTCGTTCCTAGCAATTCGCAGATTGTGCAAGTGTGCGGTCCATTGAACGGAAAGGAAAGTAGGTAACTAAGTTTGGCTTGACTCTTCTGCTCTGCCGATGTGTCGGACCAAACTGTGTTGCATATTTGCAACGGGCACAATGTAGCAGAAGCAGTAGTAAAACTCTGCTGTGAGCAACTGCATGCTGCTAAAACGCATTCTCTGATATTCCCCAACCCATCCATGCAACAGTATGAGCTCGCCAGGCCTAGGGGAATGTACATTAATAATCGTATCAAACAGCTGAAGAGGGAAGTCAAAGCGTCATCTTTGACTACTCGCCTGGCAGTCCCTGTACCTTCGCCAATGTTTTGAGGCATCCTCATCCTTGTCAGCCATGCCAACGTTCTTGCTGACTTCCAGTGACTTTCCAAGGTCTAGCATCCACACCAGTGACTTTTCAAGGTCTAGCATCCACACCACCTGATGATTTATGGTTCAGCACCCATATCATCATCAGGTTCGAATTCATCAGACTCTGTTAACTTAGGGTTGCCAGTCAGCGACAGCTACATGCATATACTCTATTACGATGTGATGATCCATGGTTGATGCTGAGGGAAGTTACATCCTGATCTCCATTTACCCTGCACCCGTGTTGTACTTTGCAGGAGTCGAACAGACGACTCCTGCATCCAACAGTGGCATGGTTTCGGACAGGAGCTTGTGAAAAAAGTGCATGCATGCACTTTGCTGATGTACATGTGTTATACTGTACGGCAGTTGCTACAGTATTCAGTTCTCAATCGCCTGCATCCGCTCGGTGTGTATGTATGTGTATGTATGTGTATGTATGTGTGTGTATGGCGTTGCGAAATGTCAACTGGCCGCCAGAATGGACACTACTTCGTGCGTGGGTATGTATGTCCATCAGATTTGTGAAGTGAAGTAACACATCCACACTATGACACTATGATATGAAGATAATTCGTGCACTCAGAAGGGAACATCGAAGTGGATACCCAGGTAGGATTGCGCTTTACCTAATGAACTGAAGTGAACATATCCCTGCATGCTGTGTCAGCCAGTCGTCACGCGACGCATGATGTCATGATGCAGATGGATGTGGTATGATCATCGGGACCCGAGGATAAAATATAAATGCTCCACTTCGATGAGTCCTTTGAAAGAGGACTGGCATGTCGCCTATCACCCATACACCATCGAGTGATATGATGAAGCACCGAGTGCACACCCATACCAATATAAATAATATACATATATATATATGTGTGTTTTAATTGTTTATCATATCACATATATATACACATATGATACAATAAATAGATCATATACACATCTATTTTTCTGTGCAAGACAAGATCATCTACTTTGCTTCTCTTCTTGTTCCCGTCCTGACACGTGGCGGCTGAATGTTCAGCAAGAGTATTCTATATGTATAGTGTGTGTGTTGCATCTGTGCGTGTTACATGATCGTGGGGTGCATTCCCCGTACCTGCTAACCGCGCAATACAATCGAGTCGAGATTTTAAGAGATGGAATCATACGACCACAGGCTCATTTAACTCCTTTTATTTAAACAACCCTCATAGTATAGTAACATGTTATAATGTCTTCGATCTGCATTTGTTTCTTGGAGCTTACCGGGTTTGAACTGGTGGCCTCACGCATGCAAAGCGCGCGCTCTACCACTGAGCTAAAGCCCCTCTCCGTCCTCTGTTATGTACATCTGCTTTCCGCCCAACGCCACGGCTTAGTTCACAACAAAGACACCAGTCTTGTGGACTAAAATAGCGACTGAAGCTGCTGAGTTTGTCCTTTCGGCCGCAGGTTGACACAACGTAGTTCGGTGGGGCAAAGCCCTCGTTAATGTTGGCTCCGCTAATCCCGAAGGGTAACTAGTAATGTAGTTAAACTACAACTAGGCTCTGTCCATATGCCTACTACATTAGGAACTACGGCATCCCCCCTTCGGGGAAAGAGCTACTAGTAAAACGACATTACCGAAGGGGGACCTAACCTACTCCAACAAGAACCTTTTTTGACAACGTAGTAGCTTTGGCCAGAGACCTAGTCGTAGTTATTTTATACAATTGAGCGAATTCAGACAAACGTCTGGACAAATCCATGTCGGCACGTGCACACGGAAAAATGGTCTCCTCATGGCCCGATCCGGCGCGTGCCTGTGCAGTGCTTTGGAGCTTACCGGGATCGATCCGGTGACCTCACGCATGCGAAGCGCGCGCTCTACCACTGAGCTAAAGCCCCCTCCCATCTGTGTCAACCTCCAACCAACTTCACACCAGCGCATTACTAGAGCGCGCTGTTCGCGCGAGTGGGCCGTAGCTCCGTTGCTGGCTGACGCTGAATTGCACGCTAGATTGCGCGTTGCACGGTGCTGTCGCAAGCGCGTACGGCATAGCATAGCGCGTACGGCATAGCGTAGCATAGCATAGCGCGTACGGCATATCACAGCATAGCATAGATCGTATATGCTTGCAGATCGTATATGTTTGCAGATCACATATGATTGCACATCGCATGTGGCATATGCTTGCATATGAAGCATCTGTGCATATGAAACACATGTGCATATGTGCATATGAAGCATATGTGCATATGTGCATATGAAGCGTATGTGCATACGTGCATATGTGCATACGTGCATACGTGCATATGTGCATATGTGCATATGTGCATATGTGCATATGTGCATATGTGCATATGTGCATATGTGCATATGTGCATATGTGCATATCTGAGCCATGTGGGCTGAATTGCACGCTGAATTGCACGCTAAATTGCGCGTTGCACGGCGCTGTCGCAAGCGCGTACGGCATATCATAGCGTGTACGGCATAGCGTAGCATAGCACAGCGCGTACGGCATATCACAGCATAGCATAGATCGCATATGCTTGCAGATCGCATAGGCTTGCATATCGCATATGCTTGCACATCGAATGTGGCATATGCTTGCAGATCGCATCTGGCATATGCTCGCAGATTGCATATGCTTGCAGATCGCATTGCATATGCTTGCAGATCGCATATGCTTGCAGATCGCATATGCTTGCACATCGAATGTGGCATATGCTTGCAGATCGCAGCAGGCATATGCTTGCAGATTGCATATGCTTGCAGATTGCATATGCTTGCAGATCGCATATGCTTGCACATCGAATGTGGCATATGCTTGTGGCATATGCTTGCAGATCGCATCTGGCATATGCTTGCAGATTGCATATGCTTGCAGATCGCATATGCTTGCAGATCGCATATGCTTGCAGATTGCATATGCTTGCACATCGAATGTGGCATATGCTTGCAGATCGCATCTGGCATATGGTTGCAGATTGCATATGCTTGCAGATCGCATATGCTTGCAGTTCGCATATGCTTGCACATCGAATGTGGCATATGCTTGCAGATCGCATCTGGCATATGCTTGCAGATCGCATATGCTTGCAGATCGTATATGCTTGCAGATCACATATGATTGCACATCGCATGTGGCATATGATTGCATATAAAGCATTTGTGCATATGAAACACAAAGCTTACAAGCGAAGAACGGCGCTGTATGAAGCGCGTACGGCAGTCACTCCGCGCGCGTCCGAAGCATACGAAGCATATGTGCGTGTGCACGTATGGTGAAGTGCGTGTGTTGAAGTCTGCACGTTGAAGTTTGCGATCTGCTAGCGCTGCATATCGCATATCGCATAGGATGCATATGTGCATATGAAGCATATGAAGCACACGAAGCATACGAAGCATATGAAGCATATGAAGCATACGAAGCATACGAAGAGAAAAAAGGAAAAAAAGCGCGCAAAAAAAAAGACGCGCGCGCGCCGGGGATTGAACCTGCGCGGGTGGACAGATGGACAGACAGACGGCGTATCGGGCTAAGGCCTCCGCTTACCCATTATTACGTGGGAGCTACGGCGACCTAGCCCTGCTAGGAAGCATCGGTGCCCGGGGCCACACTGCATAGATCCCAGTAACTCATCCTGTCTCCGCAGTACCATTAGCAGTCTGCTGAGATAGGCAGAGAAGAAAGCCCAAGACCAGCTATGTGGTAACAGGGCAGATACATTTACATTCACACTAGAGCGCGCTGTTCGCGCGAGTGGGCCGTAGCTCCTGTGCTGGCTGATGGCTAATTCCTGCATTGCGCGGACAGTATGTGTCGTGCTTGTAAGGGCCGCAAGCTGTACGGCCCACTTGCGCGAACAGCGCGCTTTAGCTTACACACTTACACACACTTACACACAAGAGATTGCGGAGTCTAGCACGCGGATCTATCCTGTGAAGCGCTCGCGCGGGAGTCGAACCCGCAGGGGGCTCCACACATTGGTGGGCGGCTCCCCATTCCTGCCCGTAGGGAGCGAGCGTGTCGTCCGGAGTGTCCCCCTTACTCCGGACGCTGTCATTTAACGCCGTACAGTGGCGGGTCGTGGTTTCAACTCAACTCAACTCAACTCAACTCAACTAGTCCTGGACCGGGCGGGTCCACCGCGCTTCCAGCTGTCGCGCATGCTCGAACTCGGCTGTATAGCGCTGCTCCATCTCGCGCGCTGCCTGCTTCAGCAGGCGCAGGTTGGCGGCCAGGTCCGGCTCGAGGTTAGTCGCGCTGAGGAACTGCTTGATTATCCTCTTGCGCTCATGCGGTGTAGTGTAGAGCGGCCGGAGCAGACGGACGTGGTCCAGCGTCTTGAAGCGGGTCAGCAGCACATACAGGGTGGCGCGCTTGATGCTGTTGGGTGGGACAGCGAGATCCACCAGCCAGCACTCGTCTTTGAAGCTGCGGCCTTGCACGAAGTAATCGGTGACCGCCTGGCGGTCGCCGAGCGGCACGTTCAGGCGCCGGATCTGCTTTGTGATGGTGCCATACCCGGCGGCAGGCATCTCCACCTCGGCAATGCAAGACGCCCGGGGTGACAGGATGAAGGCACCACCCCTGCTGGCGTAGTCTCCAAGGCCCTGCAGCACGGTGCCGGGGATGTGGCCGCTTATAGGCCGCACAATGACGGCCGCTGGAAGGTACTTGAGCCGGCGGTAGGGGCCACGGCCGTCATCGGCTGGCTCGCGGCCATCCTCAAGCAGGCCGCAGGCTTCCACCTCGTTGTTGTGGCTCGCTCCGGCATCGGCAGCTGTCGTATCAAGGAGGATGTATCGGGCGCCATGGTAGTACCACGTGTCGGCGGTGGTGTGGCCAAACTCGTGATCCTTGATCCGCATCGCAACTGCTTTCTCCACGTGTGTCAGGGCCGGTTCCACAGCAGCACCGCGCTTCTGGACAGGGACGTGATCCGCATTCCACACCACAAGGCGCTGATTCTTGCGCTGTGCCTCCAGCATGATGAGCCGGGTGTTGAGTGTGTGGCGTGGTTCGTTCCTCTGCAGCACGACGCGCGGCTCGAGGTGCGCCAGGTCGGCCAAGTCGACGATGGCGCGGCTGTTGAGGTCGTCGACCATCTCGGCTATGCGCTGCTCGGTGGCTGGCTCACCGCCGAACATAGAGGCGTACTCTGTCAGGCGACGACCAGAGGGGCTGCTGTCCTGGCGCTGCTGCTTCTCCAGCAAGAAGACCGTCTTAGCCAGGGATCGGTAAACCCGGAAGCCCTCGAGTATGCAGCTCTGAGTCTGCGGGACAGCCCGGGGCCGGCGTGCTGCTGCTTCGGGTTGCTGCTGACCGCCTTGAGATCCAGCGGCGGCCTCATTAGGGTCGCCATCGTTGGCCTCCTCTCCGTGCAGAGGTTGCGCGGTTGGGACAGAGGGCGAGAACTGGGGGTTGCATTCCACAGCAGCGGCGTACCGGTAGAGGGGCGGGCCACCTGGCTTCGGGTGCTGGAACTCGTCGCCAGTGTTGGCGCTGGGACGGCCGCTGAAGATGGTGGCGGCGGGGTGGTCGCCGGCGAGATGTGGTGGCGGTAACAGGTGACGGGTGCAGGACTGGTTGCATGCACCCAGGTGGTCCAGGCTGTTCATGCCAATCTCGTCAATGATGAGCGCACCATCGCCGACATTACGATGCACCTGTAGGCTGGCTGCGCTGCCTTTCCTGACGCTGTCCGCTCGGTTGCTGCCAGCAGATAGGGCGAACATGGCGTGGGTAGAGAGGCTGCGATGTACCGGCGTGCTGAAGGCAGTTGCAGCAGCCCATGAGTAGGTGCAGGTGGCCGCCCAGTGCGGGCAGCCATGCTGGAAGGTGTACCACAGGAGCGCTTGTACGAACTGGCTCTTTCCGGTACCGGGCTTGCCCTCCACAAGCATCTGCGGTGGGTCGCCAGGGTTGGGCTCATCGCGGCGATCGAAGTACCGAGCCATGAGCATGAAGGGCACGGCCTGGTGGGGGGCAAGCGTGAACAGCTCGATGGTGTCGTCGATGCTGGGCGGCTGGGGGAGGTGCACATAGAGGGGCATGCGAGCCTGTTCAGTCCGCTCAGGAGTGCCAGGCATGCGCACGATGGCGACCAGGGGTCTGCTGGTGGGGCGGTGCAGCTCGACATGAGGGGTATCCATCTCAGGTGTGGCCGTCAGTCCCGCGTGGGCGCCCCCATCTGCCTCAACAGTGCCGGCTGCTGCTGCAACGAGATACCGCTTCAGACGCTTTGCTGCCTCAGTCAGGAGGGGCAGGTCCGCTGGTGTGATCCGACGGCTGAAACGATCGCTGCCTGCACCATGGCCGTCCGCTAGGGCCGGGGCTCGGCAGCGTCGTGCTGCATCATAGGCATACACGCCAGCAGCGTTGGTGCAGTCAAACAGGTCCGTAAGAGCGACGGCGGCGAGGTCGGTGCCAGCCGTCGGATACTCCTGACCTGGGATGTACACGAAGTGCTCCAGCTGGTCCTCGGCAGGCAGCTGTGTTTCAGGATCAGGCCTGAGATGCCCGTGGATGCCATCATCGGTATCTCCATCCGAAGCGCTCGTGCTGTCACCTTCAGGCAGCGCAGCTGCTGCCGCTGCTGCACGCTGCTGGCGGCGCCGCTGGTTGTACTCCGCCTGACGGCGGGCTTTCCCAGCGTGGTCCTCTTCGATGTTGTCCAGCAGCACCGTCACGTACGCTTGGTATGAGCGACCTGCCTCGGTAGTGCCCAGCTCTGCCCACCAGGTGTCGTAGGCTTCCTTTACACTCAGCCCGGGGGGGATGGGCTGACCCCGGTGAGCTTTAAAAGTACCCAGGACAAACGCGTAGTACTGCGCCATGCCCGCAGCAGAGGTGCCAGGGCGGGGCCGGCGGGGAAGAGAGCCTCCAAGCTGTACATATCGCGGCCGCGGCAGGCGGATGTGGACATGTGTTCTGTACAGCGGATGCGTGCCGTGGAAGGCCACCAGGCGGGGCAGCTCCGTGGCTGTCTGAGACGTTGGCTGGTCGAGTGTCGCTGCAGCTGTAGGAGCAGGTGGCTCAGGAGGAGGGGCCGGGGCTGCAGTCAGCAGAGGCACAGGGGCAGGCACAGGGGCGGTTATGGGTGTGGCCGGGGTAGTGCGCTTGCGGCGTCGAACTGCCACCGGACTCTGTAGACCCAATCGCTCTCGGTGCGGGTGCTGAGCTGGCGGCACACGTCGGACCTCATAGTTGGAGGATAGGTTGTACACGCTGCAGTCCAGGCCGCTGAGTTCTTCCCCCCGCAGCACGTAGTTATGCACGGCGTTGGTCACCGTGTAGCCCTCTTGCTCTTCGGCCTCCACCAGCACCGCCGCTGTGGTCGCCACCTCAGGAGATTGGTCGGCGCCCGCAGATAGCGCTGTGAACGCGTCTACCTGCAGGTATGCGCACTCGAACGTCGCCTCGAATGTGGAATGGCCGTCCAGCTTCATGGCGACAAGCGCCATACCAGCCGTAATGGCAGCGGTCATGCGATGCACAGTGGCACACATGTTGCCAAAGGCGGTGGGCCCACTGGCACCCGGATTCGGCGTCCTTCCAGCCAGCAGGAAGTCCTGCACTCGGGTAAGAGCGTTGCACGTCAGCTGCGCCTGGCTGTCGTTGATGCTCTTGCCAGTGTACTTCGTGCTGTAGTAGGCAGAGTCGCGGGCGCGGTCAGCAGCAGGCTGCAGCAGCACACAGTCCCCCCGCTCATCTTCAGGGCGGGCCAGTTGCGCTGCTGCCTCTGCCGTGTAGACGCGATCCACCTCGCACGCCAGAGTAAACAGCTGGTTGCACCCAAATGCCAGCGCTGCAGCTGGCATATGCGGTACAATGTTCAGGCCCAATCGTGGCAGAAGGAAGAGGCCGCCGGTGCCAATCCACTGGAAGGCGCTGCGCAGGACACGCGGGAACGCCATGCCACAGCTATCATCTGTGCCACGGCAGCCGTGTCGCTTGCACGTGTCGTTATGCGTATGAGTAAGCGTGCTGCAAATGACGGCTGCGTGGTGCGCACGGCAAGCAGTGTGCCGGGGAGGCGGCGGGAGTCCGCCACCTGCACAGCCGGCGAGCCTGCCAAAATCGTACGCTGCAGGCGGGCAGGACTTGTCCACGGGCGGAGGTGCACGGCCATGCTGCTGGGCCTCTTCGACGGTCATGTCCATGATGTAGTGTTCTGCACCGCGGGTGAAAGGGTCATAGTACGGCGAGGGATACCACATGGCGCACAGGGCGTATGCCAGGGCCAGCGCTCGGCAGTTGGGTCCACTGAACAGTGCCTGAAGGCGCTCGACTGCGAACGTGGCCACATGCGCAACACCGTGGATGTGCAGGGCAAGGCAGCCGCTCTGCTCCACCTTGACCGCCACCTCAAACGTGAGCCCACAGAAGCAGCGCGGGTTCGTCTGCTGCATGGCGCCCGGCGCGAAGCCGAAGAGCTCCTCCACCAGAACCTCCTTGGTGGCCACCAGCAGGGCGGCGCAACTGTACGGGTCATCCTTCACACGCCGCCACTTCTCCACCGTGCTCGGGATATGTTGCGGTCGTCCGTCATCGTCGAAGTCCAACACCTGTCCGGAGGCCACGACTGCACAGGCTGCGTGCATATCTGCCGGATTTACGGTGAAGAACAGCGGAGGCCAGCCAATGGTGAGGGCGGCTGCACGCATCTTGGATCGGGCACCGTTGTAGTACGCGTCTGTGAGGTCGAGGCGCAGAGTACTGAGGCGGGCCCCCTCCACCAGTGCCTTAACCAGCGGCGACTGCTGCGCAAGCAACTGCCGCCGCTGTGAGTGCCGATACGGCAGCGCCAGTATGGTGCCCATAGCACGGATGACATCACGCGGCACACACGCCGCCGGTTCACCAAGATGCGGCCGCATGTTCATGGTGATGCCCACTTGCGCCATGCTTTAGTGGCGCATGCAGATGTCGTACATGCGTGCCAGCAGCATGAGGTTGCCGCCGAATTGTGTCCGCGGCACACGGTGCAGCAGGTGGCGACAATACGCCGGAAAAGACATGCCGCGGGGGCGCTGACCAGAAAAGCCGTACGGGAAGGACTGGGGGAAGCAGAGGGTGAGGATGGCGGGATGACGGTCATCCAGCACGTGGCTGTCACGGCCACCAGCCGCAAACGCAAGCCGTGCGCGGCCAGTCAGAAGGTCCTCCACTCGGCCTGGGAAGCGATCGATTTCGCTGCCATCATCGCCAACATTCGACGGCTGTGGCAGGATCAGCTCCAGCTCGTCCAGAGTGGCAGCTGTCGGATCGACTGCATGATCAGACGACAGATGCGCAAGAGCTGGGTCAGGATGCAATTCACGCTGATAGCATGGTGCAGCAACGGCGGTAAATGCAGCATGGTGTGTGCATAGGCTGGACAAAAGCGAAATCGAAGCGTCTCGAACGCGTTACAAATGAGCGAAGATGTGTTAGCCCTATGCTCAGCCAAGCAAGAGAATGCACGCACCTGGTGCACCTTCAACTGGCTGGTCGGCAGGTCCACGCAGGATGGCGGTGAATGGCCCCGGTCCAGGGTCATGCCCTGCACTCAAGAATACATACAGCGGAGTAGTAGGATACATCACTAGCAGGACAGGCGAGGGTGCTGCAAGAGTCCAGCTTATCCAGCGGGTCAGGCTGCGCATCGAGATCAGTCAGCACAAGAGGAGCGCACTCTTGACGCACGGGGCAGCGGCGGCAGCGGCTGCCCGGTGCACAAAGCGCAGTAAGAGGGCAACACGAAAACAGAGGGCACACAACAGCTCGCATAAACACAGCAACAAAAGAACATACCTGCATTCGGGGTCGGATCCGCCAGCGTAGGTTGCACGGGTCCTGCAGGATCCACGTCAGGTGCCGCAGCTGCATCGGCAAGATTGCCATCACGAACAGCCGCTTCCACCACGTCCTGGAACTGCCGCACACCTGCCGCACCCGTGCGGTCGTGCAGGAAGGTGGTGCGGAGGACGTTCGCCACCTCCGGATCCGTAGGCGCAAGGGCGGCATGCAAGATTTCGTCCGGCACGCCTGCAGCACAGCCCATGCGCTCATACTCCTGCAGAGCATCCTCATCGATAGCCAGCTCCTCCTCGTCGTTGTGCTGTAAGAAACGGACCCAGGCGACGATGACCTGCCCTCGCACCTGTAGACCTGGCACCTTTCGCACGCGTTCCAGCAGCTCCGCCCGGCTGTGAACCTGGTCGACACACACGACCGTGATAGCGCCGGCCAGGTCGGACGCCCGCGCCGGCAGCTGTCCTCGCAGCATATTCGGGTCAGGATTTACGACCCCAATGCCGTGAGTCTTCACAGCACGCGGGAAGACGTCCGGCGGTCGGTCTGCCAGGTACATGATGAGCAACTGCTGGATGATGCGGCCGCGGCCCAGAAGCTGCCCCTCCAGGAAAGTGGGCGACGGCAGAGGGTCGCCCAGATGGTTGACGTGCGGCACATCGCCAGGGTCCAGGCGCGCCAGCGCAGCTTCGGGAACTCGTCGGGCTGTAGGAGGGGGGCAAGCACAGGCAAGTAGGTCCGAGACGACTAGGGAATCAATAGGAAAGTGGGCAGCAAAGGCAGGAGAGGCAAGCACATGCTGCAGATGAATGGAGCAGAACAGACGCAGGCAGAATGTGCCGCACTGAGTTATACCTCATAGACACGACGAACAGCATGCAGCACAAACTGACTTACCACTCAAGGCCTTGTGGCAGGCGTTGCATATGAAGATGCGTTCTGCAACACCGTCGCCGACCAGCATAGTGCAGTTGGGCAGATCCGGCTCTAACCGCATGCAGTACGGCACCTCCACACTAGCTGGGTCGTCAAGGCAGGCTCTGGGCAGCACCCGTGGAGGATGCGGCTGTTGGTCCGGCGGAAGTTGCTCGGGCGGCTCCTGCTCAGCCGCCGCTGCCTCTAAATCACCAGTCTCCGGAGCATCACCACCCATCTCCAATGCTCCTTCCGCTGCATCATCTACCAGCCTGCCTGCTCCATCATCATCCACAGCAGCAACCCGCTCAGCCCGGCTAACACGATACCGAGCTGGCAGGACCGGATCAGGCGGTGGCGGTGCTTCTCCCTGAGCTGTACGCGCCATCCGCCGCCACACCAGAGTACGTCCCCAGCGCTGCACAGCGTCCGTGCACATGACGTCTGCACGTAGAATGTCGACGTTGGGGATCTCCATCCAGGGCAGCACCGTCGACTGGTCCTCCGAGCACACTTCCGAGCACACAGCACAGACACGGGAAGGCATGCGCCGGCGCAAGGCAACAGCCATGGTCGATGCACATTGCAGCTGCACTGTGTATGGGACCTGCCTGTCAGGCGGTAACTGACCGCCAGGAAGGTCCTGCACGCGGCCCTCTGGAATCGCCAAAAGGAAGTCGGGCAAGTCAATGGCGGCATCACGATGAAGGTCCGTGAAGCGCAGAAGACGGTGCATGCGAGCCAATAGTGTGTCCCTAGGGGCGGCCTGCTGGTTACGCAGCTGCACCTGGCGTGCAGCTGCATGCCGTGCTGTGTTCCGCTGCTGCTGGAGTGCCCTTACCTCCGGGTCAGCATGTGCAGCCGCATGCTGTGCTGTGTTCCGCTGCTGCTGGAGCGCCCTTACCTCCGGGTCAGCACGTGCAGCCGCATGCTGTGCTGTGTTCCGCTGCTGCTGGAGCGCCCTTACCTCCGGGTCAGCACGTGCAGCCGCATGCTGTGCTGTGTTCCGCTGCTGCTGGAGGGCCCTTACCTCCGGGTCAGCACGTGAAGCTGCATGCTGTGCAGCATCACGCAGCTGCTGCTGCACCCTCACCTCTGGATCAGCACGTGCAGCTGCGTGCCGTGCAGCATCCTGCTGCCGCTGCAACAACCGTAGCTCAGGAAGGGCTGCCGCACGCTGCGCAGCTTTCTGCCGCCGCCATCTCTCCCGTACTTCTGCAGCAGAAGGATCAGCATCCTGGTGCTGCCCCTCCAGCTGCGTATCTGCAGCAGCAGCCTCTGCAGGCCCCGCTGAATTCATTCGCACGGCTGTCTGCTGTGCTGCGGCATGCTGCTGCTGCTCAGGTGCACGGCCCGTACTCAAATCAGCGAACGGACGTATTCTTCCACGGAAGCCGTCCGCCAGCGAGCCAAGCCGGAGTCGTTTCGAAGCAGGCGACTGATCCGACATGAAGGCAGACCCGACGAAGCGAACACGTATACTAATTCAGCCGTTAAGGATACGAGGTCGTCAACGGCGAAGAACGCGAAAAAAAGCGGAAAGAAGAAGCAAAAAATTGGAAAATATTTCGGCCTTGCGAAATTGCGAGAACCGTGAAAGCTTACAACCGAAGAAAGGCGCTGTATGAAGCTCGTACGACAATACGAGGTTGTGAACGGCGAAGAACGCGGAAAAAAGCGAAAAGAAGAAGCAAAAAACTGGAAAATATTTCGGCCTTGCGGAATTGCGAGAATCGTCAAAGCTTACAACCGAAGAACGGCGCTGTATGAAGCGCGTACGACAATACGAGGTCGTGAACGGCGAAGAACGCAAAAAAAAGCGAAAAGAAAAAGCAAAAAACTGGAAAATATTTCGGCATTGCGGAATTGCGAGAATCGTCAAAGCTTACAACCGAAGAACGGCGCTGCACGAAGCGCGTACGACAATAATTCCGACGCAGAATCGAAGCACGCGCTGAAGCGCGCATCGAATTGTGCGCCAAAGCGCGCGCTGAATCCCGCGGCGAATTGCATGCTGAATTGCACGTTCAATCGCGCATTTAGAGGTGTGCGAATCGCGCGCTTCGGCACACGTGCGCAATTGCGTGATTCGGTCAAGCAGCTGAATTGCGCGCAACGTCCATAGCTGAACTGTACAGAAAAGCTTGTCGCATTGTGTCGCAGATGCAGCCTTTCCGCGCCTTGTTTCACAACATCTGGAAACGCGCAGATGCAGACGCAGATATGTGTCGCGGATAAGAAGACATGAAGGGCACGTAGAAGACGAAGCTAGAAAAAGCGACTAGCAGGAAGGCAGCGCTGCTTGCAGATCGTATATGCTTGCAGATCGTATATGCTTGCAGATCAGATATGATTGCACATCGCATGCGGCATATGCTTGCATATGAAGCATGCGTGCATATCGAAACACATGTGCATATGTGCATATGAAGCATATGTGCATATGAAGCATACTAGACGCGGGCTGCGTCGCCCGCGAGGGGGCCGTAGTCCCCCGGCTGGGCGGCAGGAGTACGACGGTCCGTGCGTGTACTACACCCGTGTGGGAGTCGAACTCACAAGTGCAAGGGATGCACGAAGGGGAGCATCGTTGTCGTCATGACGCGTGAGTACACCAGGCAGTGGATGGTGTTGAGTGCGGCAATCTTGTAAGCAGTGTACACCACACGATGAGTATTGTGTGAGAAGCTGGCGGTGCCGAAGAAGTCGTCGCTGTCATGCAGCAGTTACCGAACTATGACGAGTACTTCGCAGACGATAGTGACCATGTGGTGTACGCTGCATACGACTGCTTAGACGTTGACGTTCGCCGCACAAGTACGCAGGATAGCGCAGGTATGCCGTACAATACGTGCAGAGGCGTGCGGGAGATATCGCTGCCACGTTGTGTGGCCGTGTTGGTGTTCGGTGCGTTGGTCATAGCTGCCAACGTCATGGCGGCGGTGGGGGTTGGGCAGGATCGTCCGCTGCAGCAGTTTAGGCACACGGCTTGCTTTTGGTTGGATATCTTCGTAGGCCAGGAATGCCGAGGAATGCATGACATACGAAGATATCACACCGATGTGATATTTTCGTACGCCAGTAATATTTCGGCCTTCATGGCATATGAAGATATCAAGCTGAAGGCGAGCCGTGGAGGCGAAGTGCTACAGCGGACAATCTTGCCCAGCCGCCACCGCCACCATGACGTTGGCAACGATGCTGACGACCAACACGCCGAACACCAACACGGCCAACCAACGTGGCAGCAATAGGTGCTGTGTACCGCCCAGCCGCCATGACCGGGAGTCTGGCCGCCGCTCCTTCATCTTCAGTTGGAAGCCGCCTCCAAGTCGAGGCGGCAGCATGAGTACAACGGGCAACAGCGCAGTTACCACCGCCTCAACAAGTAAGCAAAGTAGGGCAGTCAAAGGCGCACGGAGCAGGGACAGTCGTGCTGTCCGGCGAGGCAGTGGTGTTATCATGGTACGGTAGCGATGCAGCATGTCATATGTACACACACAGTAGTACACCGGGCTACACCACACCGCCCTGCTGTCCAGTCGTTGTGGATCAAAGTCATACCGGGTCAGTAACCAGGTAAGACTTGGGTCCACACCTTGCGGATCCGCGTCTTACTGGGTTACTGACCAGGTATGACTTGGATTCAGAAGGACCGCATAGCAGCCAGCAGCAGGTGCGTGTGGCCGTGTGAGTGTGTGTGGTGTCGGGGGGGGAGTTTTGCGTGCAGCAGTAGCGTGCCATAATAACACCACCGGCTCAGCGGTTAAATAGCTATGTGACGACACCGCTGTTGGTCTACCACGTAGGCATTGTTATGTACGATTGCAAAGTGTATGTAGGGTTTGTAGTACCCTAAGTGTATGTAGGCCAGCCTGCCAGCCTGCCAGCCTGCCAGCCTGCCAGCCTGCCAGCACTCGGGGAATGACTTGGTCATGGACGTGTTTTCTGGTCATGGATTTGGTCATGTATGTGGTCATGGATCTGGTCATAATTTGTCATTAAGTCATGGATCCGGTCATGTATGTGGTCATGGATCCGGTCATAATTTGTCATTAAGTCATGGATCCGGTCATGGATCAGTTCATAGTTTGCATAAGCAAGTGCAGGATATGACTGGTTGGGGTCATGAAATGTATGCGATTCATGACGACAATCTATGACATGGGACCGCGAAATGACCGTATACGGTCATGGCTGCACTTTATGACCCCATGCGGTCATAAAGGTGGTCATGTACCTGCTCATAAATATGCGGAACATGACCAGGTCATATTGTGCATGGTATTCCATGATGCAACAATGCACTTCATGACCACCCTGGCCCATGTTTTGCAGTCATTCCATGAGTCGTACACTGCACTCCATGACCACCCTGGCCCATGTTTTGCAGTCATTCCATGAGTCGTACACTGCACTTCATGACCACCCTGGCCCATGTTTTGCAGTCATTCCATGAGTCGTACACTGCACTCCATGACCACCCTGGCCCATGTTTTGCAGTCATTCCATGAGTCGTACACTGCGCTCCATGACCACCCTGGCCCATGTTTTGCAGTCATTCCATGAGTCGTACACTGCGCTCCATGACCACCCTGGCCCATGTTTTGCAGTCATTCCATGAGTCGTACACTGCGCTCCATGACCACCCTGGCCCATGTTTTGCAGTCATTCCATGAGTCGTACACTGCACTCCATGACCACCCTGGCCCATGTTTTACAGTCATTCCATGAGTCGTACACTGCGCTCCATGACCACCCTGGCCCATGTTTTGCAGTCATTCCATGAGTCGTACACTGCACTCCATGACCACCCTGGCCCATGTTTTGCACACATCCCAGAAGTTGTTTACTGTGGGCTTATAAGTCATGACCAGCAACCCATCAATCTGTGGGCTACAGACTCCAAGTCTGCTATCACAAATAAATGTATGTACTCCAACACTCCACACCGTTAAGGTGACAAACCTCAATGTTTCAGTGGATCATTCAGGGAAATCACCCACCAGCAACATCCTATGAAGTAAGCCGGATTACCTGCAGCTCGACTACGTATACATTCCTGAACCACAACTGCCTTCCACTATCATAATGAACTATGAGCTTCACTCCTTGCAGGTCTCAATCCCTAAACCTCCAGGGACTTAAGTGTGTGCACTAGTAGTAATGCCTGACCTCATACATTTCTCTATATGCCACCTGCAGGTCACAGAAATTGTCAACTCCAGCATCCTGCTGCATGCCTGCTAACCCACCGCCTTGCGCTTCCCCAGCAGTCTCTTCCTTGCTGGCCCCTGCTGGCCACCTTTGCCCAGCTTGGCTGCTTCTTTCACCGCACCTGCCCTGGCAGCTTGTTTCACTGCAGCAAGCTCAGCCCGCATCTGGTGAGCAGTGATGGCGGTGGTTTCATGGTCAGGCATCCCATATGCACCGCCACCAGTGCCACCCATCGCCATGGTGTCCCCATACTCTGCAATGACATCGTCAAGTCTCTCGCCAATCAGGTCCTCCAGGGAGTCACCCTCTGGCTCACAACCACCTGGCTCCATAATTGTTTTGCCAGCAATCACAGCCGCCTCCGGTGCAGCCATGGCCATCTGAGCTGAGACCTGCTAGCAGAACATCAAGATGTGAGCACACGGAAGGCCCAAAATGCATGATACTAGTGCCCTGCAATATTCAGGAACCCACAAGCAACGGCATGACATGTGCCATTGCTACATGCACAAGGACCTGTCATGATACATCACATAACCCATACACCATGTACCTGCTGCTGCACTTTGGTGGCACCACTGTTCATCACACCCATCATGACGGCTGGGGCCATGGCAGGGGTCTGGCAGGTTCCCTGCAAATGCAGATTATGGGCATAATTCATATAGTCTGTTGGATTAATAGTTTAGCAGATGGAGAGACATTCGGGGGACTCCTCCTCATCCATTCACCCAAACATCTGAAGAGACCAAGGGTTCAGCAATCACTACCAATCCAGCAATCGAACCCTGATTAATCAATTGTGACCTCAATTCCGCAGTTCAGCAATTAGCCATAACCTCGCGCTCCTGATTAATTAGGATCCCCAGGAATCGAATCCAAGACTTTAAACTGCTGATTGCAGTTGTGTTAAGTCAGACCTATCTAACTGCAGGAATGTACTTACAGCTGCCTTGACATTTGTAATGCCACTAGGATAATTGATGCCATGATTGCCCGCTTCCTCTTTTCGAGGCCCAGCTGGCTGATCCCCCAGTAGTCCAATGCAGACTTGAACAGCACATCTGCATGTTATACAAGGAGTTGTGCAGTTATGTGGGGTTTTCAAGCATGCAACTGCAGCAGAGATAAATGCCACACTTACAGTTTGTGTGGCAGTACACAAACTCGATGGCATCCTTCCACTCTGTGCAGAAGCCGATGTACAGTTGTGCCTTGATGGACAGAGGCAGGATCGCTGCCTTGATTGTGGCCTGCAAGCAAGTCAGTGCTTCATGAGTATGTAGTGACACGTCCTGCTGCTGTTAGGGGCCTTACCCGACAGAACCTCTCATTGAAGTTGTGTTGGACAACTTCATCCATGACTTTATTAATCTCTGCAACAAAATCCTGGTCCCAGGCATCCCGCTGTTTGCGTCCCTGTTGTTGTAGTCCATCACTGTGTTTCCACTGGCCAGCTCACGCGAGTTGTGTCCTCACAGCTGGCAAAATTCTGGTAGCACATTTGGATCACTATCACCTGTCACTACTCTCGTAAGATACCCCTGCAGCTGGTTCACACTGCCACTGGGCAGACCAGACCAGCCATCTTGGCAAAAAAAGAAAGAAAGGTCAGTGCATTTATTTAGAAAGGGCTAAGCAGGTTGAAATCGGCTGCTGGCTGGTAACCACGTTTAAATGCCAATGTTGACGGCGGGTCAACAAACACCCCCGTTCCCGTGGGAAGCTCATTCTCACCTAATGTGTCATAGAATATGACATGTTGCAGAAGACAATCCTCCGTCAAGGTACCCGCAAGGGCTTTTGATACTTCGTCGCCATTCTTGAGGACCGAGGACATTACCAGGGTCTGCTGGGCTCCAATTTGCTGGACGTAACCGACAGGCTTCAACATGACATATGCCCGTCTGATAAGGATTGGGGACTGCTGCACCGCCGAGCTTCTGAGCAAGCTCGCGGTCAAAGGAAAGCCGATGACTTTTGCTGTTGTTTGTGTGGTCAAACACCAAATGCAAATTTTATAAGTATAAATTACATGTATTTGGCAGAGTTAAATGCCAGACACTGTAATGCCTTTGTGATTGGCAGCTCCATCACAACTTGCACTGCTGGATCCAGGATTCACACATGCAAGCACAAGGGCATCTTTTACTCTCATTATTCATTCATGAAATGTATGCAATTCCATGTGTGTAAGGGATTTGTGTTCATTACCGACTAGATGTGGTCTCCGTTGTCTCTCGGCCAGCATCTGATGTCGGGCTCTGCAGACCCAGCGAACTAATGCTTCCTCCCACTGGAGCCTGTTCCTTCACATATGGTACCAAGTAATGGTTCGATCCTATATCAGTCCGTATTGGAGCTGCTTTCCGGTCTTTTCAGCATTTCAGCATCACATGATGGGATGATTGCCAGCCTGTGTTGCCAGTTAATCACCCAGATCTCGTAACTACTCGTTTCATCACTCTTAGATACTGGCATCCATCAAGAATGGGCCGATCTGCCCATTCGTGAATCAGTTTGTTTTCATGATTTGCTGCCCATGAATCCGGGGAAGAGATAGTGGTGGGGTTGGTGACGGCAGCATTGGAAATGCTGCCGATGTCATCCCCACCGTCACCATTGCTGCTGCCACCAACCCCACCGCCACCATTGCCACCGTCATGAACCCTGCCGTCGCCCCTTCTACCCTCACTGTCCCCACTGTCACCAAACCACGCCCCCACTGCCGCTGTTGCCAACCCTGCCATCGCCATTGGGGCGTGGATAGGGCGACGGTAGGGATGCTGAGGGTGGAAGGGGTGACCGCAGGGTTCGTGACGGTGGCATGCAGCCAAGCCACACCCTGGCTGTAAGACATCATCCACCACCAAATAGGAGGACACTAATCATGCACACTACTGAGCCGCTGTTAAGCTTTGATATTGCTCAGGCTAGGCGAAATAGCATAAAGTTCATCATTGAACAGGTGTTGAGTTGTTTGTCGTACACGCACATATGTTAGGGTACGGCACTTGGCACAGCTCACAGTATACCGCACACGTTTATTGCGTGGATTAAAAACCAGTGCCTTGTAATGTCTATAGCATCATGTCATATCTTTTCTTGTAGGGTAGCTTTAGAGGTAGTGCGCAGGCTAAAATATTCGAATTCTTAGGTTCGACCCATTAATACCACAAGAAAAATATTAGTTTGCAAATTTCCAAAGGTATTTGCCTGAGAAATGTGCACTCATCAGTATAGGTACAGGTGAGAAAGCAAAGGTCGGTGAATGTGTATGAATGACGATGGTATTTTCATCACGACCACCCCTTAAGAATCCCACAGTTATAAGGCTTAAGAATGTAAGCAGCAACAAGAATTTCCTCTTGACTCTTACATAATTAGCATTATGGTTTCTTATAACTTGACAGATGGATAATATAGTTTTTCCGCATTGCTAAAGAGTGCCGTACTACTTCCAAGTGACTTGTGTACTGCACTGGTATAAAATTCCTGCGCCTGCTGTTGAGACTAATGCATCTCCCAGCCCCACCGCCGTCGCTGCCGCTGCTGCTGCGTTGCTAATTCCTGCCGCCGCCGCGCCTGCTGTTGAGACTAATGCATTTCCCAGCCCCACCGCCGTCGCTGCCGCTGCTGCTGCGTTGCTAATTCCGCCGCCGCCGCGCCTGCTGTTGAGACTAATGCATTTCCCAGCCCCACCGCCGTCGCTGCCGCTGCTGCTGCGTTGCTAATTTCCGCCGCCGCCGCGCCTGCTGTTGAGACTAATGCATCTCCCAGCCCCACCGCCGTCGCTGCCGCTGCTGCTGCGTTGCTATTTCCCGCCGCCGCCACGCCTGCTGTTCAGACTAATGCATCTCCCAGCCCCACCGCCATCGCTGCCGCTGCTGCTGCGTTGCTAATTTCCGCCGCCGCCGCGCCTGCTGTTGAGACTAATGCATCTCCCAGCCCCACCGCCGTCGCTGCCGCTGCTGCTGCGTTGCTATTTCCCGCCGCCGCCGCGCCTGCTGTTTAGACTAATGCATCTCCCAGCCCCACCGCCGTCGCTGCCGCTGCTGCTGCGTTGCTATTTCCCGCCGCCGCCGCGCCTGCTGTTGAGACTAATGCATCTCCCAGCCCCACCGCCGTCGCTGCCGCTGCTGCTGCGTTGCTAATTCCCGCCGCCGCCGCGCCTGCTGTTGAGACTAATGCATCTCCCAGCCCCACCGCCGTCGCTGCCGCTGCTGCTGCGTTGCTAATTCCCGCCGCCGCCGCGCCTGCTGTTGAGACTAATGCATCTCCCAGCCCCACCGCCGTCGCTGCCGCTGCTGCTGCGTTGCTAATTCCCGCCGCCGCCGCGCCTGCTGTTGAGACTAATGCATCTCCCAGCCCCACCGCCGTCGCTGCCGCTGCTGCTGCGTTGCTAATTCCCGCCGCCGCCGCGCCTGCTGTTGAGACTAATGCATCTCCCAGCCCCACCGCCGTCGCTGCCGCTGCTGCTGCGTTGCTAATTCCCGCCGCCGCCGCGCCTGCTGTTGAGACTAATGCATCTCCCAGCCCCACCGCCGTCGCTGCCGCTGCTGCTGCGTTGCTAATTCCCGCCGCCGCCGCGCCTGCTGTTGAGACTAATGCATCTCCCAGCCCCACCGCCGTCGCTGCCGCTGCTGCTGCGTTGCTAATTCCCGCCGCCGCCGCGCCTGCTGTTGAGACTAATGCATCTCCCAGCCCCACCGCCGTCGCTGCCGCTGCTGCTGCGTTGCTAATTCCCGCCGCCGCCGCGCCTGCTGTTGAGACTAATGCATCTCCCAGCCCCACCGCCGTTGCTGCCGCTGCTGCTGCGTTGCTAATTCCCGCCGCCGCCGCGCCTGCTGTTTAGACTAATGCATCTCCCAGCCCCACCGCCGTCGCTGCCGCTGCTGCTG